CCCGCGGTCGACGCAAAACAAAAGACACTCAAGTCCGCAAAGGCAGTAGCGGCAGCAGCAGCAGCAGCAGCAGCAGCACCATCCCCCGAGGCGCCTGCGGCCGTGGCTGCCACCGCCGCCGCTACGCACGCCCCGCCCCTGCCCCGCGGCCGGCGCAAAAACCAGAAGATACTCAAGTCCGCAAAGGCAGTGGCGGCAGCAGCAGCAGCAGCACTGGAAGCGCGTGGAGCGCGGCTTAGAACGATGCGGCCCCGGAATGCCGATGGGAATGCGGTGACCTCTTTCACTCGAAGATGATACGGCTCAAAGGGGCATGTCCTACCTAATCGAGACAGGAGAGGGCTCGTGCTTTGCGGTCCTTTGCTGCCCATTGCGGTCCTTTGTTTCGACGCTTTTTTTTTTTTTTTCTTCCTGTTCTTGCTACAGTCAGGGCGTCGCCATGTCCGCGTTCGAACAAAACGACAAGGCTGCGATCAAGTACTCCAAGCCGCCGCCGTTGATGGCAACTCCGAGCGGGCGCCCACAGACGAACAACGGCGGTCTCGTCGCGGCGTTGGCGGCGCTAGTCATGATGGCAGGCTTCGACAAGGGAAGCAGCGAGGATGGGCTCTGTGCTCCTGCTCCAACTTTAGCTTCTCCTGCCTTGGCTTCAGTTTCCCCTGCTCCAACTGTAGCTTTTCCTACTCCAACTTCGTTTTTCTCGTGCTTCAACTTCAGCTCCCTCCTTGCAGGCTGTCTAAATAGACAGGCACCCCTGCGTTTTCATTCTCCCAATGTCCCCGCGGGATCACAGAACGCAGGCGGAAGCACAACAACAGCAACAGCAACCTCGGCTTATCGCCGCAGGACCACAGCAGCAGCCAGGGAGATCAGCATCGCAAACCCCCAAGCCCTTAACCATAGCAAGGGCGAGCCAGATCAGAACTCAGTTGGCAGGCCGCCGACCCTGCCATGTCGCCCGGTGATTCTGTCTTGCGCGGTCGCCTTCCATTCCCGATTTCATGTTGTATCAATAGAGGATGATTACTTTGGGCTATCAGGCCAGGCGTGCCCGGGGAGGGCCCGGGGGTCTCGGGGTCTCGGGGTCTCGGGGGGGGATCCCGGTTCTGGGGGTAACGGGGTGGTTCAGTTTGGCCAGGTTGGTTGTATCCGGCTTGTCGGTCGTTCGGGCCATGATTGAGCCGTGCTTGGAGCGGTCCTGTCCTGCCTTTCTTGGCCGTGTCGTTGGGTCGCTTTGCCATCAGGGTGCGGGTTGTGGCTGGTGGCTCCGTTGGAACGGGCTGTGATTCCTTTCCTTCCCGGTTGCGGCAGCGAGGTGCCACCACCGGCCCTTTGTTCCTCCTCCGCCTTTCCTTTCGAGCCCACCTTTGAACAACCAAAACTTGATGCTATTTTATTTATCATCCTGTCTTTAGGCTTCCCCTATTGCAGGCTACGAATCCAGACAGCCGTCGGGTTTGCTGGTTGCTGATAGCGGACCCAGGAGGCCCAGGATTGTGAGGTATTTGGGTTGCTTGGGGATATGTGCGGTGGCGTAGCGGATGATGGACTCGAAGGACATGAACCTCCCCTTCCGGGCCTCTTGCCGCGCCGCCACGCCCGCCCAAGATCTTGCGGGGGCAGGTCGCCGAGGTCCGTACGGGAGATGCACGGTAGAAACTGGATTGACCTCGACATCAAACCCGACGGCATTCTGATACGCTAAACCTGCTACCAATGGCCCGGAATGGAGTCATCAAGAAATATCCTGCAGCCTGCTCATCTTGGAAAGCGTCATCGTGGGGCGCGTGTCTTTTGACTCGAATGCCAACATGGAGGTTCTGACCGTCTTTGTAGCATTCGAACTCTTGCAGTGGGTTGGCTGAATTCCGTTTTTTTTTCCCTCTTACTCTTGGACAGAAAGCATCAGAATCGGTTCCCATCGGACTCGAGGACTCACTGGTCATGGAATCCACCCACTCGCCAATGCTATTTTCCCGATCAAGTACTTCTCCGGAGGTATCCTCGCAAGAATGTGGGAGGGTGTTTCGCCCAATGTCAGCGACAGGACGCTGCTCACAAAGGACGCCGTCCGGCGTACAGTTTTACGAGAAGCACTTCCAGCCGTCGTCCCCTCGGGCAGCCTGCGCAGCTCACCATCTAGGAACCCGACACGGCAACAGTGAGACACGGGTACGCAACTTCAACCCGCGCACCCAAAACCGATATTGCCGGTGGACAGCGCCCCTCTAGGCAGCACCCCAGTCTCGGCTGGGCCAGATGCCCAAACGTTGAGGAAGAGATGGAAATATGTAGGCCTTTCCGGGAGGAAGCATATCGATGCGAGATGGCCCTCAAGACGTCGCAATCGCAATATGGGTTAAGCATTTTTCAAAGGGATAATCCCAAGAGTCCGAGCGGAGGCATTTGAATGCCAGGTCTACCTTGGGTCTACCAGCTTGCCCAGCGGTGGTCATACGGAAGCGACCGAGAGGCTGGGTCGGCGCCCGGCGTTGCTTGTGCGCTCCTGCCTCGTCACCACCGACGCCACAAGTCTCCCCAAGTTAGGGTTCGGCGTGGAATCTGCCTCTAAATAGCCGAGCTCCCCCAAGCACTGCAGGCGGAAGGCGCGAGTGTTGCGGGAAGTAGCATGTGTGTTTTTTCACTTGGTGAGGACGGGTCTGGCGATTCGCATTTGGAAATCATTCGCAGTTGGCAAACGTTTACAAACCCCGATGGGGTTTTACTTGCTAGACATGGAATACTACCTGCACTCAGCGTTGCCTTGGGCGACACATTCTTACCTTTGTGGCACTCGATCAGCTTGTCACAGCCTGACCGAGTATGGTTTTGTGGTGCTGGTTGTAATCGGGGCGACGGGTGCAGGGCACGATGGAGATGAAAGCTCGACGACCTTGACAGCATTCTATCCTAGTACCAACTTTCTTGGTTCTCTTCTCCCGTGTCCTGCGGGAGATGCCCAATGTTCATCGCAACGGACGCCGGGAACAAGTCCGCAAACGTCTTGGACGACGGAATAGCAAAGTTGGCATAGAGAATATGGAGAGAGGACAGGATGTAGTAACTGGCTACCAAGAGTCCAGTACTGTTTTACTAGTCATTCGCATACGTTTGCCAGAGCTAATGGAGAATATACTGCAATGCCGTCAGCACCCAACATCCAGAGACACAGAGGCACCCCATCCAGCTCTCTCCAGAACCGGCCGGGAGCGGTCTTGCTCCCAGGTGACATGGACACCCAAAGCCCAAGTGCCACGACACAAACGGGACAACTTGACACGGCGAATAGTTTTCCCCCAAGACCCAAGAACCAAGCCCACCCAAAGGAAAACAAAAAAAAAAAACACCTACCTACAGCTTCACCAGCAGGTCCTCCTCCTCCTTACAGAAGCTGCATCTCCGGACCAAACAGCGGTAAGCACGCCTCGCACCGACATCACGCCTCGCCTCACGGACTGACTAGCTAGCACCTCGTCTTGTGCCCCCTCCCCCTTTGGCCCGTACGTAGTGTTGTAGTGCTGTTGCTGTGCCGCAAGCCTACATGCACAACAGGACCGGCTCCGGAGGGAAAAGAATGTGGGTATGGGGGTGTGTGGCGACCATCAAGGCGCAAGTTCTACCCGTTCGGAAGCTGAGGGTGGGGGCGCGAGCCTTGGGGGGTTTTTTTTTTCTTTTTTTCTTTTTTTTTTCGTCCTGGTCTCAACTCTTCGCTGGCATGCAACAACAACAATGGCGGTCAGCCACTCGATTCAGGGAAACCCAAACACATGTCGGGCCGCCCTGCGCCTCATGGTCGCCGCCCACCCCACGGGGGGCTGGCTGGCTGGCTGGCTGGCTGTTATCGTCCGCGATGCAAGCCCTGGGGAGAGGAGCAGCGTCTCGTTGTTGGTGTTGTTGCTGTTTTATTTATCTTTTGTTTTACAGAAAAAAAAAAAAAGTGCGGGAAACCGTGGGGGAAAAGCCAAGTCCACCCCCCGCTTCCCCCATCCGCCTTTATTTTTTTCCCTTGGAAAATAGCGACTTACGGCCGGCACCTACATAGACACACATGGCATGATGGGTTGTGCGTTGGCCAGCCCGCTATGTACCTACGTATGATGTTGATCCCCCCTCCAGTCGCGAGCTCAAAATCCATACTTCTGGTTCGACTTCCTGCTCGGTCATGCATTGTTCCGGATCTAGGCCCCCCGGATGAGGTAACAGGATGCGAGTAGAAGAGGAGAAGAAGAAAAAAAATAGGTGAAAAAAAAAATAAAGAAAAGAAAAAGAAAAAGAAAAACAACCGGGCAGGCGGCTGGCCGGCCGGCTGGCCTTGCTTGCTGTCCGATGCGCTGGACATGCCGCCGGGCAGACGTATCTTTTTTTTTCTTTCTCTCCTTTGGTTCATGCACATGGTACACCCTCAAGATAGCCAGTTGTCGGCCGGCACTGCAGGTGTCTAATCGTGATGGTGGGTGGGAAGGGCTGGTGTGTGTGTGTGTGTGCTTGGGGAGGAAGGCTCGACGGGGAGATAGAGGACAACGCTTGACCGCCTTTCGTCCGGGCCATTCCGGCACCCTTTTGCTATCTGCCCATCCTTGGACGTGGGAAAGGCCTAGACCGGCTTTTCTTCTTTTTTTTTTCACGTGCATCGGCCGGTGACCGCAGCCACACCGGGAAGGGGAGGGCCGTGGCGGTATTTTATTACTTGTTACTTATTAATTTTTATCATTTTTTTTTTTGTTCTTGGTTGCTGTGGCTGCCACACGGGCTGAGACTTGTCGAGCACAGATTGGCCGTAGAGGCTCGGGGCAGTGCCCGCTGCGGCCACTCGGAAGCGTGCGGGGACAAGCTGCCGGCGAAGATGGCGGTCTGGAAAAAGAAAGGGAAAATCGGAGGGGGAAAAAAACCCCCCAAAGCGAAAGGCTCGCGCGCACAATCTCGCCCTACTTTCGGGCCACCAAACCTGCGGTGAAGCCGCAATCGGCATGGAGACCCGATCCTCCCCTCCACCGAGGTGAACAATTTTTCCTTTTTTCTTTGTCTCTTTTCTTTTTCCTTTTCCCTTGCTCTGATCGCTGTCCCATCCTTCCTTCTTCCCATTGTCGTATTCCGAGGTGGTCGCGATCGGCTCCCAGGCCCGGCGCCGGCGCCGCTTCCCGAAGTTGGCCATGGGGCCGGGGCCAGGATGCTGCAGCATGCAGGCAAGGGCACCACCACCTTCTTTTTTTTTCCCTTTGGTTTTGTTTTAAGGGGGGAGTGTACAGTTGACCCCATCTGTCAAAGGGAGTGGCTTGCATGGGGGCGGCGAGGCTTGGAGATGATCTTTCCTCACAGGCACCTCTATTTTCCGGTGCATGTTCCCAAAAATGGGTATCGGTATCGCCCTGCGGAGGGTCAGAGGGTCTATGATCTTCCATCCAGCCCCTTGGCGGACACGGAGCACAAACCCAAGACTTTTTTTTACCAGCTGCTCGGTTTAGCCCACTCGGCTTTCTCGATCCGGTAGCTAGCGGTGGTCCTCCCCCTCGTCGTCGCTTGCCACTCCCAGGAACCTGAGAGCCGGGACGGGTTTGCCTCACCCTGCCACCTCGAAAGGGGAGGGGCTGGCTGGCTGGCCGGGACGGTACGTGCGGTGCTTGTCCAGAGGCCCCCTTTTTCTGCCCTGGCGTCGTCGCGGATCCCGATGGGCAAGGAAGGAAGATGAGAAAGAAAAAAAAAGAGAACCATACCATACTTGATAAGGAACCCGGCACTTTGCAAGGACACGTCAATGCTCTGATGGGGCCCGCAGCATGCAGAGAGCAAGCAGCAGCAGCAGGTGACATGGCGTGGAGGACCCGCAGCGAGGAATTGTTCCTTTGATGTTCTTTAATGCTTCTCTCTTTTCCCCCCCCTTTTCCACACCTCGCGAGGTGACAGCGCGGACGGGCCAGGGCCGAACAAGCGAGCCGAGCGGACCCAGGCGAGTGCTGCGGACGAACAAATAATAAAAACACGACCGAAAAAAAAGTGCTGGGCAGGCATGCAGCAACGCATCGTAGCCGAGATGGAGACCCGGAAAAAGGGTTTTGCGGGGGGGAGGGAGTCCATGGCTCCCAGAACCGGACAGGTTGGAAGGGTGACACGGGGAGTGTGAGGCCGTGGTGGATTCGTTTTGTGATGTGTGGCAGGCAAGTTTATTATTATTATTATTATTAGTATTATTATTATTGCCATTATTACCGGCCCAACCAGCGCGGGCTTCGGTGTGCAAAACTAGAAGACGACAGATAGGCAGACGGACAGACAGACAGCCGACGGGACGGACGCCACTCTCCGCTCTGCCGTGGCATGGCATGGCATGGCATGGCATGGCCACCCTGCTCGCTGCCAGCCAGACTTTCCGCCACCATGGTTGATAGACAGCTGGGGAGAGTGAGAGAAAAGGGCTCTGTTACTGTGCTGCTGGCTTGGGTTTCCCAGAGGTGGCACAACAAGCGATATTCGGCCCAGGACGTTGTCGCAATGTCGTCTGGTGGGAGGGATGCGATACGAGCCGCGCTTGCTAGGACAAGGGCGGACGTGACAAGATGGCGAGCGGCAACAGAGGGGAAACGACATCGCGTGATTTCTGTGACGCCGTTGTTGGGGGATTTCGCACAATGGTTCTAGTTTTGGCCTTTTTTTTGTTCTCTCTTTTTGGGGGAACGCGGCAATGTGTCCTGTTGGATGTGTCTCCATGCTCGACAGCAGCCTTATTTTATTGCATATTTCCTTTTTCTTTCTTTCTTTCTGTCTTGTCAGTGACCGTCCAGGCTGTGTCTTTTGTTTTTTTTCTGCCAGCCTAAAAGTAGACGGACAGGCACAAAAACAATGCCCCAAAAATTAAAATTGCCAGGGATATGCAGGCGGTGTCCCGCCCCAGCCCGCGACGTCGCCGGCAGCCAGGGATTATTGATTATTGGGGGCGTGGGCCCCCAGAGAAAATCCAGAAAGTCGAGGAAATCCAAAGTGGAAATCCAGGTGGGCGGAATTGCTCCCCGGTGTGTCGTCGTCGTCTCATGGAGCCACGCTCTCTGGCTGGCCACTCACCATGCGCCGGAAGGGAAGCCGTGGCCCTGCCATTTCCGTTCTAGGGAAGTCGCCGGACCGAGCTGTCAAAACAGCACTGTAAAACAACACCGTAAAACAATACCATAAAACAGCACTGTAAAACAACACGACCACGGCGCCGATCGATCCCACCAAGACGGTTACCTTATTGTGTGGTACCAGCAGACTGGTCTAAACATGGCTTGTTTGACGGACAAGAAGCTAAGGAAACTGGGATGGACGGCACAATGCAGGCCGCACAATTCATGCTCCCCTCCTCCCCCTCCCCTCACTGCCGCCCACACAACCACGCAAACAACAACAACAACAGCAAGTCGAGCCGCACAAGAGCCCAAGCGGAAAGCGGATCCCTCCCCGGCATATGTGCTGCCAGAAAAAGAAAGAAAAAAAAGCAAGAGGACCCATCCATCATGCCACGAGGCCTTGTCAATCTCGTGGCAAGTCAAACTGGGTCCGGCGGCATGGGGAGAAAGGGCCACTCAGCTGCCCGCGTACCGGCTCGTTGGACCAGACTCAAAACACTCTCTCCACCGGCTGCTTTGTGCCAGCACGGCCCTGTCCACATCGTGCACCGAGCCTGGGCCGGGGTGGGGGAGAGGGAGCAGGGAGGGCGTTCAAATTTCTCGTGCGTCTCTTGGCCTGCAGGTGGGTGAGCTTTTCTTTCCACAACATAAAAGAAAACAAGGCAGGAGAAAAATAAAAATAAAAATGTTTATTGTATTTTATCCCACTATTTTTCGATCCCATTATCCTCTCCCCCCGGCATCCAACGGGGCACACCCCCTGGGGCCAGTTGCGGTGACAGAAGAACGGGTCCCCCACCCGTTGGAATCTTCCCATCCCTACGGTACGACGGGGCGGCCAAGGGGAAATAACGAAGAACAAAGAAAAAGAAAAAGGGGGGAACGGCGGTTGTTCCAGACCGCGCGCGGGATCCATCACGACGACAGCCGTCGGGGAGGGCTAGCCTCCCAGCCTCTTGGGAAGGAATTAGCCTCTTTCGCGGCTCGTGGGGGCCCGTCTTCCATGTCTCTCTTCCCGCGTCCGCTGCCGGCATGTGGCAGCCGTCTTCCGCGAACGGCTTTGACCGACATGAGAGCTCCATCTCCCTGGAAGGACCCTGAGTTTTTTAGCTTATACTCCAGTCTCGTTTCGTCCTTTGTCGCCACTTGGGCAGACAAGAAAAAGAGAAGGAAAAAAAAAACGTGCATCGGTCAGCTCGACGGTGGCGCTCAAATTCATTGGTGCTTCACCGGGGGGTGGTCTTGCCAGGGGTGTTGTAACACAAGGAGCACAGAGGATTGCGCTCTCTCTCCTCCTCGCCTGTCTACCCAAGAGCGAAAAATAAAACGAGCACAGAACAGACAGGCGCACACACACACACACACACACACACGATCGATTCGGATTTTAGTGGCGGTCGACCGTCCGCCCACCCGCCAGCGCGTGCGTATTGCTGTTGCGTCCCCCCCCTGGCCCACGAAACAAAAGCCCATCGGGTTTTTTTTTTGATGCGACGGCTGACCCAATAGAACCCATGCCATACCCATCACATGACGCGGCGTCACTGCGAAGCCGCTGAATGGCAGACGGCCACACAAAAAAAGGTGGCCGCGGGTCAGCCAACCGCCTGGTTTCCCTGGTTTCCCTTTGCTGTGTGTGGCCAACGGGCCGCGCTAGGTGCCTAATATTGGAACCGCCCTTTTTCAGCCCCCCCTTCCCCTCCGGAGGAAGCTCCGGCGCGGCGAGCCAGTGGTTGAGGGCTTCAGGAACCACGATTTGATCGTCGCAAGGGGGCTGGCTAGCTACCATTCTGCTTCTGGTGCGTGTCGGGGCTGAGGGGAGCCAGCCCAGGTGCCTTAGGGAGGAGGTCGGCTGGCCACGCACCGCCTTGGCCTGCCTTACCTGGCCGTCCGCCTTGTGCCCGATCACTCGCGGCTTTGGGGGAGGAGGAGGAGATGCAGGGTTTCACCAAGGGACGGGTTGTTTTTGGTTTTTTTTTTTAGGAAGGGGCAGGGGGTTTGTTTATGGTGCCAACCATGCGACCCGGCGGCCCCTCTCCCCTCAGCCCGGGCCGAATATGCTTTTGCGAGGCAGCCCAGCCCTTGTTCCCCGGTGAAGGCGAGACTGCAGTCTCCTCGGCGGAGTGCAACCGGAGCTGGGTTGGTGAGTCGTGGCTCTAACGTCTCTATTTTCATCCTGTGTTGTCTTGTTAGGAGGGGGGAAAACATTGCCGTGTGCAGTGGGGGAATACAGAAAAAAAGAAAATGGGGATAAAAAAAAAGGAAAGCAAAAAAAAAAAAAAAGCGACCAGGGTGCAAAAATCGGGGGGGGGGGGGCCTGCTGTGGTGGCGCGCTACTGCAGGAACGGACGCGGGCGTTTTATTGCCATGCGCTGCCCCTGTAACGGCGGCAATTCACGCCAGTTCACAGCACCAAGTGCCAGTTCACGCAGAGGAGAAGGAAAGAAAAAAAAAAAAAAAGAAGAACGGCTGAGCTGACCTGTCCAACAAGGTTCCCGCCACGATTTACCACCAACAACGCACACACGAGGGGGAGGCTTGGGAACTTTTAGCGGCGTCAAAAAGACCGACGATCGGCGATTTCGATCCCCACCACCAAATTCATATCTTTTTTTGTGGCTTTTTCACACGTTGGCCATCGCTCCGGGCTGTCATTTCCCAACTTGGATAATTTACCCATGGACCGGAAGGAACAAAAAAGAAAAGAAGGAAAAAAAAAACACATTGAAATTTCGCATTCATGGGTCGGCCGATTAACAAGGAAACCCTGCATTATCATGTTTCAGCACACATTTGGGTGGGGAGGGAGCGCATGCAAGCCGGCGGGCCCCCCACCCCCCTTCCCAATGGAGCGAAGAAGCGTGGATGCGTTCCATGACAGACAGAAGAGAAGAATGATGGAGATTTGCTCTTTCCCGTCCCCACTTCTTTGCTCTGGTGCGTCTCCTTCCAGAAGCCTTCCGATTTGGCTGGCAAACGGGGGTGGATGCATCCGCTCAGACCAAAAAGAAAAGAAGAAGAAAAATGGGATACAGGCGATCCACCCAGGATTTTATTTTATTTCCTTTTATTCCTTTTTTGCTTCATTCTCGCAGCCCACCCAACCGAGGAGACATGCATATCGTATCGGCCGGCGAACGTTTTTTTCCTCACTCTCTCCTTCGGACGGGAGTGGGCTCGGCTGGCTGCTGCCAAGCTGACTTTGACATCTGCGGTGTCGGGTTGTTGCATGTCTCGGGAGCAGGCGGGCTGTAAGCGCCGTTCATCCTTCAGCGTGTGCTTCGCAATCTGCCTTGTCGGCCAGGCCTGGGGGCTTGTGGGTGAGAGGGTAAACATAATCCCATGCATCTTCTTCAGCGGCGGCCCGGCGGCGGCGCGTGTCCACGTCCTGGTCTGGTCCGGTCTGGTTATCCAGCCAGTCAGGCCCGTGCTACAACGCAACTCCGGTTCTCGTCATGTCCGATCACCGGCCGTGCCACCCCTCGGTCGCTATTTTCCCGACTCGCTCGTCGGCGGCCTCGCCGTCTCCTCCTGGTCTTTGCTTCACTGGGGCGACGCTCGGGAACAACGGGGAATACCGACGGCCAAGTACGGAGGCGTCAGGCAAAAGTTCTCGCCGTGGGGCATGTAGCGACCAGAGGCAGGGCGTGTTTAGCTGCTACCAAATAAGGATCACAGGTCTAGTGCTGTAAAAATATGTTTATTTATGAATCTTTATGCGTTGCTATTGGTCGTGGCATCTCCGGCCCCCTGCTTCGCCTCGGGAGCGACCTGCCCCACGGCGAAAACTTTTGCCCAACACCTCTGTAAGAGAGAGCCGTGTCGGTGGAGCCCTCTCCCAAATCTTTGGGAGAGCATTTGCAGTTTGTGCGCCTTGCACTCCATGCTTCTTCTTTGGTTGGATGACGAATAACCTGCTCCACCTGGCTTTTCGAAGGCTTTACCGGGACAAGAGTCATAAACTCAAATAATGCGCACTATACCGAGGCGGGAAACAGACTCGCCAGTAATTCCACCATGTTTTGGGTGACGGAAAGGGGGTTGGCTGGTTTCAGGAAGCAGGGGGGTTCGAGAAGAGAATAGTAGGTGGGGAAAAAAAAGTGAAGAAACAAATAGCGGGCGGGAAAAAAAACAGGTAAAGAAACAAGAAAAGAAGAAGAGCTAGAATCTGAACGGCGCATCGCAATCTCGCGCCAGCCGGAACGGCCACGCCGTCTCGGGAGATGTGTCTTGTTCCCTGCCTAGCTCGGGCGCGCCAAGTGCTAGGCTGGGGAAAGCTCAGGCGGCCGGCCATCTCTCTCTCCTAGGCGTCAACAGGAACCGTGTTGCGCCTCGTTCCGCTTTGTCCTAGATCAGGCGGGCTTGCTTCCTTGGAGCTTGGTTGGCCTAGCCTCTTGTGGTCCGAAACTGCAATTCTCACTTGTCATGGCTCATCCCCCCTTATTTCCAACGTCCAAGTTCTAGCGGCGTGGCCACCATGTGGATGGGTGGATGGTGGGATGGGATGGACCCACATTGGCTTGGGCTGGAGGGGGAAGCATCATCAGCCACAAGACTTCATTTTCCCGCCGAAACCGCCAGGCAACAGCGGGTGGTTCCGGGCGAATTGGGAGACGGTCATCTGCAAGGCGGGCGAGCAGAATTATGGGAGAATCCAAATCGAGTCTTGACTGGACGGAGCCTTTCCCTTGTCGCCCCAGAATCGGTATTCGTTGGCATCGAGGTGAGGGAAGCTCCAGTCAGTGAAGTGCACAGCCACACCCCCCACTCATCCTCTTTTTTCTTTTTCAGCTGCAGCGCGCTCGCTCCGGCGTCGTTGGCTGGCTGGCAATTTTTCAAAAAAAAAAAAATTGACTGTTAATGCACCTCAGTGTCTTTTTACCTGTGACAGCGCATCAGATCGATGACTTGAGCCCGACGTGGCACAGCGCAGTGGGTGGGGGACGTAAGAGAATGGAGGCAGGGAGAGAGAGAGAGACAGGCGACCCCAGACTTGGAAGCCCACCCAACCGTTTTTTTTTTTTTTCCACCTGCCAAACCCCCGGCTTTCCCAACTGGGGAGGTTGGGTACATCGTCATTTCTAGGGCAACAAAATGCGCGGGAAATGGTGCATAAAGGCATGACTCTGGGGTGCGGCGCCGACGTGCGCTCGATTGGTCGGGCCGAGCTGGGCTCCCCCTCCTCGGAGCGAGCCCAGTCGTTCGAGTCGTTCGCCGGGCTGTGTTTGGCTATCGTCAGCCCGTCCTTTGTGCGTTGTGGTACTAGTAAATGGATCCCATTGCGGCCGCCCACCTGACGATACATACCACGTTATACACGCCGAGAGGGGCATGTATCTGCACGGCAGCCCAAGGGTGGACTCCCGCATGCTCTCCCGTCCACAAAAAAGAAGACGGTACAAAGGACAAGAATTAACCGCGGGGAGGAGGACATGGCCATGCCATTGGAGAGAGGCCGCGAGTTTGGGGTATGGCACGTGTCAGGGGAAACACGAGACGCTCCCAACCGCTCGGGTGGTGCTTTGGGGGGGGTGTGTGGTTTTTTTTTTTTGTTCGGTGGTGGGAAGCACAGCAGGGAGGTCGTGATAGGCAGATAGGTAGGTAGCGAGGGTGGGGCGGAAAACCTGCTTGAGAAGACGAGCACCAACAAAAGACCAGCTGCGTCATTGATCTTTGACTGCAGGGCGCGCGAGCGCCGCCGCCTCATCTTGCATCGTGATTAGGTGGCATATCTACGTACCCAGACCAGACGGCCAGTCTGCCAGTCTGCCAGCGCAGACACGCATAGAGGAGGCGAGGAGAATATCAGGTATATCACAAGTAAAAGTCACAGTGGCGGAGAGCAACAAGCACGGCGGAAAGCGGACTGGCTCGCGGGCGGGCGGCGGAGCGGGCCCTTGCCTCGGTCGGCCGCAGCCCTGCTGTTGTACCCTCTCCCTTCCTCCCGCCGGGTTCCACGACCGCGCCCATCTCGGGGGACGCGACAGGTGACCGGAGTATTTTGGGTACCATTCCTGCAACTGTAGTTCCTCGGCGGGAACGTCATCCATCGTGATTGTTCATGATTTTTCCTCTCTCCTTTCCCCTCGCTGCCGCAGCATGCAGTGCATCGCCGCAAATCTCATCCTCATCTTCAGCTCTCGTCGCTCTCCCGCCCCTCCCCACCATCTCGGGACCACCGACTGGGTGCTTGATTCCTAGCTCGCCTTGTTTTTTTTTCCTCCCCGGCTAGTGCCATGCAAGTCGGTTGCGCGCCGGACATGCAGAGCGGGCAATCGGCCCTGATGTATGTGGTGTAGGTACCGACCGACCTAATCATGCGTGTTTTACGGTCAGGCAGGGTGAGGCAAAAAAAAAAAAAAAAAGAAAGAAAAAAAAGAAACGAGTGGCGTAGCACGAAACATGGCCGAGAAGGGAACACCAGTCAGTATGCATCGCGGAACGAACATGTTGGACGAGCGGCGGCAATCCTTCGTCTTCTAAGAATAGACGTTTGTATTCTTTCCTTCTCTCTCTCTCTTTCTTTCTCTTGTCCTGCCCGGCACGTCCAGGGATGGGCATCAGACTGCAACACAACCACGAGCGCTGCTACCACCCCTCCATCGTTCCACGGCCGCATGGCATTGGCATCTCTGTCGCCTGCAGCGCATCTCCGTCACGAACGAGATGCGTAGATTGATCAGGGCGCGCGGGTGGGTGGGACCGGATAGTAGGACAGGAGCTGAAGGAGGGAGGGGTGAGGGATGTTTTATTATTATTTCGCTTCTCTCTTGTCTTGTGTTTTGGACGCTGACGTCCATCCCACGCCCAGAGCTACGCCACGCCGCGTCCCGGTATCAGCAAAGGTCTCGGTTATTTGGTGGTACGTGATGGCATGTAACAAAATTTTGCGCTTCCTTTTATCTCGTTCAATTGTCGCTCGGCTGAGCGTCCTGTCATGCCTGGTGGTCATCGCCGTCCAGATCGCCCAGCTCACCCTCACCCATCTTTCGGACTCTTCCCCTTCCCTCCATTCGGGCCATTCCCGCATCGGCGGTATCCACTCGGTCACCACCAAAACGGACGATGGAACTGTACCGGTACATACAGCTGACCACGCCCAAATCCACGCCGTGTGGCTTTCTCCACCCACACCGCCCACACCACCCCGATGCCCTCACCCTCCATTCCGCTTTTCTTGGGGAGTTCTCCTCCATCTTGTGCCTCACTCCCACACGGCTCGCTAGCACACGCGACGAGATTCCTTCCCTTCCCGCCCCGCCCCCCCGGGACCATATTCCAAAAACCGTGCAATCTCCGCTCCTTCCCTTTCTCTATGTTCTGCCCTTCTCTATCCATCTCGGCCGCGCGGGTTGTTCCCTGCGCCTGATATCATCTCACGGCAGCATCCCGAACGGGCCACATGTCACAAACATCCACTTTCGGGGACATCCTCGCGCGTGCGTGTGTGTGTGGTGCCTGTCACTAGTGTCTCTTTTTCTTCCTCTCTCGTCGCCGTGTTTGTGTTTGGTTTTGAGCACTACTCGTGGCATGGCGCACAAAAATCCTGCGCAGGCAGCTTGGGCCGTTCCCGCGTTCTCTGCACGTCGCCTTCTCGTCGGGGATCCGTTACTCGCGGCCGTGCTTGTGCGAGTCATCCTTCTCCCACTCCCGTCTGGTGTTTGTGTCCACGAGGCGTTCCCCCCCCCTTTTGACTGCTTGCCCGCCAAATATTGGGTTCATCCCGAACATGACACTTCCTGTCCTTCTTACTCGAGTAACGAGGTCGTGTTCCCGCGTCGCATGTCTTTCCGAACCGGGAAGCAATGACATGTCATGGCATATC